GGCCTGGTTCTGTCTAACTTTTCAAATTTGAAACCCTTTCTTGGGTGTCTGCCACTGCAATGATTACTGGATCATGTTCAGGGAGGTTGCTGTGGTCCAGTAACTGCTTGTCTCCTTAAATCTCTATGCTCTTGAAACTGTACTGGGAGACACAACAAACCTTCTGGCAATGGCACTGATTTATGTACTGATGTACCGCCTTATGCTACCAGTAGTGATTTACTTTAGCCGAATGCAAAACTATTAAAAACAAAAAGATGGGGGGGGGGGGGATCACACGTAAAACCATTTAGACAGATGTCAGTCTAACTACAAAATGATAACAATAATAAGAAAGAAATATATAAGGACAGATAAAAGATGTTTAAAAACTACCTTTTTCTCCTCCAGTTTTCGAAGGCTTGTGGATAAAAAGACACTGACCAGGCCAGAAAGTAAATCCAACCAATGACTTCACTAATTATGGACAGGACATTGCTATGGACAACTATGAAGCGGATCCTGACAGGCACACTGGAAAAAAAGATATAGCTTATGTACACAAAGAAACTGGACAGTTAATCAGTTAAAAAATAAAGTGGCAGCAGACATCAGCCAGCCTCTGGTGGATCCCTCCATCCATACAATACAATGCAACTTTATTTGTATAGCACCAGCAGTACACCAAAGTGCTTTACAATAAAAACAGGAAAATTCCATCTCATCGTGAGCATCATTAGCTCTGAGTAGTGCAGAATTAACAACTTTCTATCTTTTCAACCATTAGCTTATAACCATTTTGAGATCCAGACGTTTTGCGTGACAAAAGGGGACAAAGAAACCACATTTCAGTGCGTTTGTGCTCTGCTGCTTCAACCAATGTCTTGTAATAGCTTGTACAGTCTGGAGAGAATTAAAAACTTAACAGGAGATTCACTGGCACCAAGACTCAGTTTATAAGATTTGGACACCAAATTTGGAGAAGAAAGTGATCACTTTAAGATATTCAATTATTGCATTCAGTGAAGGAAATTATTTTCTTTGCGCTGGACTGACACCCACCTGTTGAGCTCTGTGCTGTTGGTAACCAGATATGTGGTCACCTGACCAACATCATGGGCTGTCACATTAAAACTGACAGCGGTAGCTTGTACTGGCATCATGACCTAAACAAAAAACTCACATAGATTTTGGTCTCTGCCTACTGTCACAAATACATTTTGATAAAAAATAATAATTTAGTTTCATCAAACTTAGATAACCCAGGTCGGATTTTGTCTTATAAATTCAAAAAACAGCAGCAAAAGAGGAACTGGCCTATGATAATAGTTATGGACTCCATCAACCTCTGAGAGGCTCTTTTTATACCCAATCATTCTTTAACCTTTCTGTAATCAGAGATGTTGTTGTGTTCATATTATGATATTACAAAGTTATTAAAAAAACAAACATCCAACCTGACTTCCTCAAAAGTATCCTAGTTTGAAATGTTTTGTTAAGCCCATGTTTTGTTGCCTCATATGCAGCATCATTTTTTCATGTTTGGTTTCTTACCTCCTCAGGCACTGTGATTATAGACGAGTAGTTTATCTTTGAGCTGTGTGTTACATTTAGGTGAATCACAGCTGACTGGTTGAGAGGGGAACTGCACAAAGACACAAAACACCAAAGGGAACAATACAAATGTTAACGCTTGCAATAACAAAGTCTACATTAAATGCCAGTAGTAACACATCTTACTTCATATGGGTATAATATCGCTTCTCTTTGGTTCTATCTGCTATGTAATGTAGTTAACAATGGATTTAGAAAAGAAAAAACAGAAAGGTTGCTGATGACTGTGAGATGAAGTTCTGTATCCTTTAAAACTATGATGTAGCTATAAAAGTCTTGCAAATAATTCAATGTGTAGTACAAATGATAACTACAATTATTTCAATTAACCCAGAATCAAAAAGGTTTCCCAGAATATAACTGTAAATGTTTTAAATGCTGAAAACACTGGTACTGTATACAGAATCGTTTTATTGCAATTTTAACAGGCTTTCTATTGTTAAACACAGAAAGTACACTTATATATATCTACACTGGTAATATGGCTTATCTAAAATACTATTACCTGGAAGTAATAACGACGGCATTTTTAGAGTATTCCTCAAGTGTAACAGCCTGAGGAGCAAACAAACTCAATCTGGATTCTGAAGTACAAGCAGAGTTTTGGAGGGCAGCGTTAGTGTTAATTTCACATTTTATGTATTTTTCTGCAGTGAAACGGATTCATTTAATCATAACAGTTCATCACCAGACATGTTGGTCAACATCCAGAACACCAGCAGCTGAGCAGGTAGGCATCTCTTTCCCAAACCTTGGCCTGTCATCTCTGTAAAATTATGAAAACCTAAAGAAAAGAAAGCAGCCAGAAGTCATTGGAAATCAGAGCTATCCAATGCAATCATAATTATAGTGTAAGATAAGAGGATTAAACAGATACTTCAGGTAAAAATTAGGGGTGGGCTTTATACTGCATGTACGTGATCTATCGCAATTTTTTCCGTGTTTGATGAATAAATAAACCAGCTTAATTTCAGTTGTTTTATTTTCTCTCATGAATTCTTGTTTGATGTCCTTTTTTGTTGCCGTGATCTTTTGTTTGTTAAAGGTCTAGTGTTGACCACAGAAAGAGACTTAATGTGACAGTATTGTCATTTGTGGAAAAACCTCTGTGTGCAACTGATGGTTAACAAATGGTTAAAATAAAACATTTCAATTCATTCAGACTTGTTGTATTCAAAGTTGAAAAAAATGGCTGATTTGAATGAGTATACCAGGGCAATTTTAGGCACTATAGGGTTGAAAATAACTATTTTTTTGCAGGCTTTTTAAACATATCATGATATATATTGTGTATCGCGATATATCCTCATATCGCCCAGCCCTAGTAAAAACTATTACTGAAAACACAATATAGGCTGTAGATCATTTAGTATCTGTTATTCAAAGCCAAACACAGGTGAAAGTACAAAGGTCCTGTTTTTGTTTCATGTTTTAATAAGATTAATCAGATAAATATCTGTTTCCCGGGTTACCTGGATTTCATGTTAACTAGTTAGATTTGTTTACATATTTCACTCTCCGTGTTCCAGATGTTGCATCTCAGATTTGTCAATTTCTGTGAGCAGGCTATATCATAGTTTATTTGACCTCACAAAAAAAAAAGAAGACTGCAATTCCCAGGTCATGAAAATGCATATAGGTGTCAATATTATCTTCAGAGAACAATCCAAATTAAGCTAACTGCAAATAATTATAATGCAGCTGCATTAACTCATTATATTATATAAAATAAATAAATGTGCCTCATCATTCATCACACCTTTCATCACATCAGCTGGGCTGTTTGTTTGTGTTTATCCTCAGAGTGACTGATTTGATTTAAAATCGATAGGCATGATTTAAAAAGAAGACACTGAGCAGCGGATCATTCACGATGGAAACCAAAGTTTATCAATGAATCAGTTTGGAATAATTTCTTTCCAGTTGGCAGGTAAGTAAATGCTGTGTATTTCAGCATGAAACATGGCATAGAAAGTTTAGAAATGGAGCTGTAGTGCCTACCACTGATTTCATTGCTTCACCGACAAAAGTGATAACCAGCAGGTCATCCTAAATGCATGTCCATGTCAATATATTCTACGTGTAACATTACAAAACAGTGTTTCGTTAAATATACTGTATTAAATTAAACTTGTTGAGCTGATTCATACCAGTATAGCTTAGTAAAATAATTCACAGTTGTCTTCCTTGATATGCTGCCAACCTGCTTGAAAATTCTTCTCTTTTGGATATATGGTGTTACCCTCAGCCTTAAGGCTGCATGATTTGGTATACCTGCCCTTGATAAGTGGTGATAGTCACAGTCCACAGTCAAAAACTTTGCCTCTGTCCTAAAACTATTCACTCCGTCTTCATATGGAGTGTTTGAGGTGAGCCCCACGTAGCTCTGCTTCTCAATAGTTGGATTTTACTGATGTGCAGCAGAAATAAACTGAACTGACGGAACCTCCCCCACATTTCAGAAAATCTAGGGGATGTACCACAAGGAAGTTTAATACAACTATCACTGTTAGTATAGAGGGGGTTTTTTTAGTATAGAGCACCAAAGCCAAGTTTATATAGATCAGACAAGACAAACGCATCTTCCAAGGAATCAAATGCATCAAATGAAGTCTAATAAAATAACAAAGTTGTCTGAGATAAAGCGATGTCTTCATCTTACCTGTTTGGTCTGGAAGAACACGTACACACAAATAATAAAGCAATAGGCTTGCGTTAAGTAATGAACGAATAAATCTTTACCCGAACATATAAAAACTACTCGACAAAACACGTCCTCAGCTGTACTTCCCTAACAGATCACGGGATATCTTCTTCGTCCTATAACAGACGCTTCTATGTGTACTACTGCCCTCCGCAGGGTAACTCAGCTATAAAGATGCGTACAGATGAAATGGTGCTGCTGCTGCTGCTGCATATGTAAAAGTGGATTGAATTGTTTAATGACGTTCAGGAACAAGATGTATTTTATTTTATTCAATCCCCACTGCAGCCAAGTCAACATACATTGTCAGATCGGCAGGTATGCAGCACACTGACTGCAACACCAGCAGTAACCCTAACCGTATGTCCTTACGTTAAATAAACATCATTCATTTACCGTTTGTCGTCTGTATTCTGAATTGAAAGCTCCACACAAGACAGAATTATTCTAGAGTGCGAATTATTAAATGCGTACATTTAATAATTATTAATTAAATATATGCTAATCTGATTGGTGCGCTAAGATGACTGAACACCTCGGCGATTTAAGGAGCCAACCCACCACCACCAGGTTTGACTTTAATGTCATTTTAGTTACGTCAATAAGTATAAAATATTCATTTGGGAAGCATGAGTAACATCGTACCAAATCGTAACAGAAAACGAAAATCAGAATCCCCTCGCCCCGGAACGTTTCTGGGCCATATACTGTTTCACCGGGACCTTTATTATATCAACTCCTGTGTCCGACCTTCTATTGAAGAGTTTCCTGTCACAGTTTAGCAACCTTTCCAATGCTCGACATGTTTATAACTAAACTTTGTGCTTCACGTGGTTCGTTATCAAGGTTAGACTGCTGTATTAATGTTTACAAATATATTTATTTCTTTTGTTGGTTTTGTTTTTTAAACATCAAACTCTCTTAGTTCAGAAGAAGAGTCATTTTCAAATTCCGTTCAATCAAGGAGGCTAATGTTAACGTTATACTTGGAAAAGAGAAACGTGTTGCTTAGATTGGATTTGTCTGTGGCATGCTTTTTATGTGTCTGTACTGATTTTCTTGTGTTCGTCTTTCAGTATAGGCAGCTGTGTTTGGCCTTTGTTCACCCGTTCACATCGGCACGGCCAGGCTAAGCTGCTCCACACTCAGATTCCTCAGCTTAACTCTAACAGAGCGTCAGTTGCATGCTGTGGTCGGCAGAGATACGAGAGGATGTATCCTGTGATGTTAGTCCGTCCTGATGGGTCAACAGTCAGCATCAGATACAAAGAACCCAGACGCATCATAATGGTTAGTTTACCATATCTAAAAGCCAGTAATCCCCTGGCTTGCTGTTTGTCATGAGTCTTATAGATGTGCAGTCTTAAAGCAAAAAAGAAGAGATCATGTAAATTACATCATCACTGTTATTTTCTAAGACCTGTCATTTTTCAGTTAGATGACTTAATGAGCATATATGAATTAGAGGTGGGAATCACCATACATCCCACGATACGATATTATCACAATACTTAAAAATATTTTGCGATATTCAGATTCTGTACATAAAGGTAAACTTTATCAATATTCATTTTCTCTAATAACAAAGTCTCACACTCAGTCTTTCTCTCGTTTCAGTCAGTTTTATTGTTGACAAACTGAACGGTTTTTATTACAGTCTAGTCCCATTTAACTGAATGCAACCATCTGGTACAATTATAGCTATGCTGAACTATGCAATTTATGAAAACTATGCAGCCCATTCAGCAACTGAAGAATTTAAAAGTAAATTAAAACAAAATATAATTTTACATTAAATAAAAAAGTTTTAAACTTATTTAAAATAAAACATCTTAAATTAAAATAAGTAAACTGTCATGTTTATTGCTGCCAAAAAAAAAGTTAAACACATTTGGACAGTGTCAGGATTCTTGCTCAGAAAAAGGATCAACATGCTCTGAAGTCAGAGCATGTTCCAGTCCACAAAAACTTTTTTGTAACAAAATATCGATTTCTGCTGTCCCTGTATCGATACATTATTAGCAAACAAAATATCACGATACTACACAGTATCGATTTTTCCCCCACCCCTAATATGAATAATGTATGTATTTGTCTAAAATAAATTTACAGTTAGTTTTTCCAACATTCTACTGTATACAACCCAAACCCAGCCCTCCACATGCTAATAAGAGGAAAGCAGACTCAATAGATAATAAAAAAAAATAACAAATTGCTCGGGTCCTGTAGCAGAAGCCAGTGAGCATGTCACTTAATATTTTGCTTATGTGAGCTGATGTGTTGTTTTTAATTTTATTTTATTCATCTGTTTTGAAAGATGCCGGTAAATCTGTCTACTCTGTCAGAAGAGGAACGTCGAGTACGGCTGAAGAAAAGAGAAGTGAAGAAGCCTCAAAAACAAACAGGAGTCCAGTATGAAGATGATTTCAAAGTGGACAAATATAGCCACTTGTGGAAGAAGAAATAAGAGTTTTATATGCAAATGCAAAGCATACTCATACAGTATCCATAAAAAATAAGTTATGTGTCTGTGTTTTGTTTTTTGTTTATTCTTAAGTGATACTGCAAAATGTCAGGGATCACCAACTGAATTGCGATTGAGTTGTACTTGGGTAATGTCCACACCACTTCAGTTTTTAATCCCCCTTGAAACAGAGACTTCTGGAAATACTGCTGAACTTGACAGTATTTTAGTCTGTAAGGCAGAAACAGACATTTCAAAACAGCAGACATTGATTGGCTTCTTGGATCTTAGTGAGTCCTTTCATGATTTGGCATACCCATCACATAAAAGAAAATGGCCTTGACTATGGCTACTGATGAATTTTATATATTAGTTGTTGAGCATGCTAGGGGCATTTTTGCAGTGAAAGGTAGAATTCTGTTATGCTACTACTGCATGAAAGAAGCATAGAAGGTATGTGTCCGTGTATGTTTTCAGTCATGTTGCTATGAACAGTAAAAAAAAATATATCTTGTTGTTTTATGTTGCTGTTTCCTTGTTTATTTTCAATAAAGTAAATTGAAAAGTTATGTAGACTCATACCTTTTGGTTAAAAATAGAAGGGTAGGGGTTTTCATCAGGAACAACTTGAGTTTCAGTGAGCTTGTGTTCTTCCTACTTTTCCTTCCTATTATACTGTATGTTATATTCTCTGCTAGTGGTAGTTTGCAGAGTAGTTGTCAGGTGAAGGCAGTATTAAAAAAAACTTGTCTGTGGACTACTCTTGGTTGTGCTGTTGTTAGTTTGTCAGTCAGCTGCAGAGAGAAGCAAAGGTATGTTGTATAAAGAGCTTAAGAGAAAGTGTTAAGAACAAAAAAGAGAGTCTCCACTCAAACCATTGTCTGTACTTTAAACAACACTGTCATAGCCACACTGTTACAAAATGACCGTGATGTCATGTCATATCTATTGCAGGCTGACAAGTCATTTAATGAGTGATGGTGTTGGTTTGCTCAAAATTGCTGATGATTATTGGTTAGTTAGTCTAGTTAACTGTGTTTTTATTTTATTTTTTGTTAAATGTTTTCAGATGTAACATATCTTTTCTGCAGTCTGATCTTTGCAGAGCATCTAAAACACAGCGACCTGATATACTGAAGAGTATATGAAGCGTTGAGTAAATTAGTCACGTATTTCATATGCGCATCCTGTGTATTTCTTTAAAGATTATTTTATATAATTTCAGTGCAAAATATACTTCCGTAGACATTACAACTATTCATTGCAATCTAGTTATATGCTAGTGCTAGTGTACTTACTTCACTCTCCAGCAGGTGTCGACAGTGCACCAGTGGGTTCGCCAGACGCCAAAAACCACACGAGCAATTCTCGCGAGAATTCGATTTGTGTCCTTGATAAGTCCGAAATGGGGTACTGGGACCTACCGGAAGGTACAGACTGTGTGGAAAAAACATGGATTGCTACGAAACTTGGCACGGCTTTAGGTAACTATCGTTGGTGACATAATTACTTGCAAGTCATGTTGTGCAGGGTCGTGAAAGCAGGTCATCTGTGTGGTGGGTTAGTCAACGCTTTTGAACTTGCAGATTAAGATTGCCTAGCAAGCTACATACGGCTAGGTTTGCTTTTGCTAAAGGATGGACCTGGGTTTCCTAAAATACAAACGTTCAGTGAATTATTTAGTTAGCGGTGCGTTTGCTTCAGCTCAGCAGATAATCACGTAAACCAGTACTGTAAGATTTTTAAATTACAACCTAGAATACCTTGAGATAGTAATGGGCGATGAAACAATACAGATGAACATGGCGCCATAGCGTTTCCTCGATACAAAAATCAGACACGGTCAATATGAAGTCTGTACGTGACTGTTTTGTTAGACTACACGAACAACCAACGACCGTGACAATAGCGCCATGCTCAACTAATAGGTTGACGCACACATGCTTTGTGGAATAACCAGGTCGTAATCTCCCAAAAAATGATTGCCGATGTTTCTGTGTTTGTAATATTTTTGCTTATATTGGTAAATAGGCTTTTGACGACGTGACTTACGAAGGGGCTACATACAAAATATAGAAATGACCTGTTTCGCAACCATCTTACTCACAGGTCTCAAACTTCAATGAGTTGGCGACCACTGCTGGCACTGTCATCTCATTGGAAGCCCTCTGGAGTGTTTGCGTCGTAACAAGCCTTGAACTACTGTACTTGCTTTTATTAAAGTTCACTGTCAAGACCAGTTTCTCACACGGTTCCAAAAAGGGGCACTACACGACTGAAAACTCTGGACAGCTCTTGCAAGGATGAAGGGAGCTCTCAGAAACTTTGCAGTCTGCTCTGCTTTTCCCTGTGCCTCTCGGAACTTAGTTTTCAGTTCACTGTTGCACCGCAAGTCAGTAAGTTCATTTTGCAGCATGCTGGGGACACGCTCATCAGCTGAGAAGGGGTCTGCAAAAAGCTGGACAGTGCTCTGTTTGTTTCATGCCACACCAAACTGCTCAGTCGCACTGCACAGCTGCTGACGCATATCTCTAGCTTTGGTTGGGCCATACATGGGACACAAACTCAGCATTTCTTCTGTCACCTCAAACTAATGATCAACACCTCTGATGAAAATTGCTGAGCATTGTCAGTACTTTCATCAAGCGCCACGGAGTGACAGTGAAACGTCGACCTTTGTTCATAGATATTACTTGATAATGTATTATTCCGCTCTGCCACGTTGTTTGCCGACAGCAACGTTGTTGAACAAACTTTTTTTTTCTTTCTTCCTCTTCATTGAATGGCTTCCCTACCTTAGCGATTAATTGACTAATCACATAACCTGCTTTGAAGGCAGCATCAGTGTCCTTACTGGCTTTGTGGAAAAGTTCTTGCTGGGATAGTAGTCCTCTTTGTAGCTGTTTGGACCATTTTCTCCCTCTTCCCTTGTTCTTTCCATAATGCTCTCCATGTTTAGTCGCATAATGACGCTTGAGATTATATTCCTTCAGAATAGCAAGTTTCTCCTTACCTAAAAGGCACATCACCTACACCCAACTCAACAAAGAAATACAGCAGTGTCCATCTTTCCGATGTCGGCGTTCGTCATCCACTTTCCTTTTCAGTTCAAACGTGTTCTGCTAATATAATACTGCTAATTCCTTGAGACCTCTGATCTTAATGACCGTGCTATTCTAATACTTTGCATTAACATTTAAATATTATGCAATTAACGTAATCGGCCAGTTGATACGACCCTCTAGCGGCGCAGCTGATGGAACAGTGCTACGTGCACTTTATAAAGATATTTTATTTGTTGCAATTTAACAACAGGTAGAAATACAAGGGACCGAGACGAGGTTGCGGCCATGAGCGAAGCAACCGCTCTGGAGCCTTGGCGCAGCTTGATGAGCGAACCAGTGCGCTGGCCACGTCTGCATCTTGGGCAGTGGCGTGCTGCTGCACCTCCAACCAGAATTTCAGTTAGGTCGTCAGGGTCGATGAAAACAGGGACGTGCAGAGGGGGGGGCTAGAGGGGCTTGAGCACCCGCCCCTTTCCTGATGAGTGCCCAAAGTGCCCTTTTGTTGAGGCAACTTTTAAAAATTTTATTTATTTTTTTTTATGTGTGTGTGCGTGCGGAGTCCTGTCTGTGCCCCTCAACAATAATATTTAACTATTAATCATAGTTTTGCTAAATAAAAGGATCTGGCTTGCATCAGTCACATGATCACATTTAACCAATGATCGCCCTTGACGGCAGAACGCGCTGGTTACGAGCCGGGAACGAGCTCACAAAGAGCACGCGCATTTTTTGCGGTCCGGAGCTGTAGGAGAAACACAAGTTAACTCAGAGACACAGACTGATGCGACAAAACCAGTAAGTAGGTGTACAGCGTACACTGTAGTGTGTAGCACCAGGAGTATTAGCTTATTACGTACACGTTGGTAAGCTGTCTTGTTGCAACTGACGAACTGAAACAAACGAGCGTGCTGTGTGTGCAACAGCGCGACAAACATTACCTGTCCTTTTATTAACTGCACAAGTAGTGCTGGTCATAGCTGCTGGCTACCTGTGTAAGGCTGTCATGGGTCTGTAGCTCTGTCACCGTTTTAGGGAACATATTTAGTTTTAAAGTAAGTTTCTGGGCATTTCCTGCCTTTCTGGAGGGATTATATTTCACTAAAAAACGATCTAATATGCATGTCCACATAATAATTATTATAATTATAATATATTAAAAAACACACGCTGTATTTTAAAGAACATACATTAAGAAGCAGATTATATTAGATTTATATTTTAAATAAGACAAAATTTGGATTTTACAGCAGTAAAATGATTGTATCTCTACAGTTTAAAAATGTAATAAGCTTTGCCCTGCACAGAGTGGATAGTGAAACAAATGGAATCATCATAATGACATTATTTCATATTTATTACTTCCCCCTCCTCATTGCTTTATTATTGTAGCTCTAGTAATAAATAATAATGTAAGGATGCCCATAGTATATACAGTATTCTGAAGAAGGTCTAAAATGTCACTGTGTGTGCATGTGTGTGTTTTATTTAGCTGGATTTAAAAAAATATTACTCATGATATAACATTGTGCAGACATGGCTGGTAAGGACATGAGGAGGAAACAGTAGGAGCTGTGTGAGGCTACTAAAGGCAGGGCTATAACATTTTTCTGTCATCATTTTATTATAGATTAAGTGCAAGAGTTGTTAGGTGTGGATAATTAGATTATAGTTTATTGCAATAGCAAGTTGTGCCTTGTTCTCAGATAGACAGCAAGTGGAGAGTGATATATGAAATGATGGGAAGGAAGGAAGAAGAGAAGCAAAGAGTGATTCACAGGCAGAGCCGAGTTTATGTCACAGTTTTTCGTTGCCTTATGGTTCCAAGCGCTGTCACCAATCTTTGCATTTTGTTATTATCTCATGACACTTGTTTAATCAGCTACCATCTCTCCTGTGGACTTTTTAATGTCTACAGTCTCAGATCAACACAGCCCTGCCCTTCCCATATTAGATTCTTGATGAATGTGTGTTGTTGTTATTCAGCATGGTTCAATGTGCCCCTTTTTAACTTTGAGCACCCGCCCCTTTAAACCTCTCTGCACGTCCCTGATGAAAACCAGGGGAAAATACCCAGAGGAACGTCCAATCTCTAAGAGGTCCTCTATGGTGAAAGTAACGGAGAGGATAACGGCAAAACACGCAGTACAACAGGGTGGAAAGATGAGTGTCAGGGGTCATTTGTCACAGAAGGATTTCACAAAGGTGAAAGGGAAGGTTTACAAGACTTTAGTGAGACCTGCTATGATGTATGGTTTAGAGACTGCAGCACTAAGAAAAAGACGGGAGCAGAATATTTTCACTGGGAGTGATCAGAATGAACTGATTATAAATAAATACAAGTTGCTGTCAATTAAAAACTCCTTCATACCAGCTGGTCTAAAGTGATTGTGATTGTCAGCCCTACAGCAAAACTGACTTTTTTTTGTTTTTCTAAAGTTTCTTAATTTGTTTGTGTGTTTCAGGGCTGGTTGGTTCAGCTTATCACATAGTGGCGTTCCAACCTGACTCTGCAGTGGCAGCGTTACAGAGGGCTACCAACTCAACAGTTACCATGGGTAAATGTATTGTCATTCAAAACTCCACAAGAACTTCAGTGTATGTGGTTTATGTTAAATCTATCTGCATGTCTGAAAACTCCACTCCTTAAGGTCAGAAGCACTGAGATTTTTCCAGTTTCTTTAGCACTGGGAAGATTAGGAATTGCCGTCACTTTTGTAATGATTCACAGGTAGTGATAATGATAATAGTAATAATTATGATGATGATAACATTATCATCAACAACGACTGAGTAAGGTTCTTTATCTATACACAGTGATTTTCTATGATTCCATACTTTAAATAATTGTGTGAAGTAGGGCTGCACGATTTTGCATAAAATGAGAATCACGATTTTTTTGGCTTAGAATTGAGATCACGATTTTCTTTTCCAGTATAAATATTTATTGCACTTATTAACTGCACATCAACTTCGTAACAGTTGAGACTGAACATAAAAACAATAAATAAACATAAAAACAACAAATGTCTCACGTTTTGTTGTTGCCGCAAAATGTTGTACTGCTTGAAATTCCGTCTCCACCGTTGCTCGACACTGCGTGTATAGAGCAGGTAGTGCAACAATAGAAAAATAGTTGCGGGACGGCACTGTGTAGCGTTTGTCTAGGGTGTTGATCATTTTCCTAAATCCCTCGTTTTGCACAGTGTTGATGGGAGCCATATCTTTGGTCAGGTGATAAGTAATAGCCTCCGTAATTTCTTTGTGCCTGCGGGAGTTCGACGGGTATAGGGAAGCGCTGTATAAGGTTCCCGTTATTGATGTTTGGGTGGTTGACCGGGACGGATTTTCTCCTGTCACTTTCTCGTCATCCCTGACGTGCTCTCCGTTGTTTTTTCCCTGCTAATTTTAGCATCACACGGCACAGCTTCTGTATCACGTGGTATAAGGCTCCGCCCTTGTCATTTGTTGAGCAGGAAGAGTGAGCGCTTGTTTTCATGCAGATAGTCCCGGATCAAAATGCGGTACAATCGTCGGTTTTTTTTTTTTTTTTTTTTTTTTTTTTTTATCGTTGTCATTTGGAAATGAGATCGCACATAAGTATGAATCGAGATCGCGATTTTCTAACGATTAATCGTGCAGCCCTAGTGTGAAGCGCTGCCCTGATGGCAATAAAATTCTAAGTGCAAAAAACCCTCCGAACACAACTTTTGTGGTTTTGTTTTTTAATTCCTTGAACATCACTGCACTCAATATCGTCACTTCTTTGACTAACTAATTGAATTTACAACAGTAAATTATTTTTCTAGTGCAGAAATGCCATCTGAAAACACAGCCTTAAAAGGTCATTCATTCATTCATTCATTCATTTTCTTATAGGTTTGTAAATCATAAAAGTTTTGGCCAAAGTAAAAATGCACTATATTGCCCAAAGTATTCACCCGCCCAAATAGTTGAATTCAGGTGTTTCAATAACTTCCATGGCCAACGGTGTGTAACATCCATCACTCTGGCATCCCGAGTGCTTCTGCAAACATTTTTGAAAGAATGGGTCACACTCAGGAGCTCGGTGAATTCCAGCGCGGTACCGTGATAGGATGCCGGTCACTGATAAATAGTTGACAGTCAACGGTTGGTGGTATTAGGGCTGCAATGATTCATTGACTAATTCGAGTAATTCAATTATTAAAAACAGCCATAAGACAAATTCTTTGCTTCGATGCTTCATTTAATACACAGCTCTGTGTGCCGACGTGTTAAACGCGACTGTTTGACCCACATTTTCGACTGAAAACAGACCTGCATACAAACGTATTTAGGAACAGCATATAAATATCAAAAAGTTTGACATTGAGCGCATACACACACCCCAGAGTTTCAGCAAAAAGACTGTTAAACAGCAGCAGCAGCAGTGATGATGATGGTCTCATAGTTTAACATGGAGCTGAATATTCATTAATGCTCTTAATAACACCGGTGTTTCTTATCCAGTTAACTGATAGAATAATCATTAGATTCATTCATTCAGTCATTAGAGCTCGGCTTAGCGCCTTAGTTCCAGTGAAAGGAACTCTTAATGCTTCAACATACAAGAATTTTGGGCGTTTTCATGCTCCTGACTTTGTAGGAATAGTTTGGGGAAGGCCCCTTCCTGTTCCAGTTGTGCACCAGTGCGCAAAGCAAAGTTTTATAAATACATGGATGAGCGACTTTAGCATGGAAGCACTTAACTGGCCTGGACAAAGTCCTCAACTCAACCTGACAAGCTGTGGGATGAGTTAGAGCAGAAACTGCGAGCCAGGTCTTGTCTGACCTTACAAATGCGCTTCTGGAGGAATGGTCAGAAATTCAATCTCAGGTTTGCAGTAGGGCTGGGCCATATCATACCGTTCACGGTAATACCGGTTAATTTGGGCAACGATAAGAAAATAAATATCGCGATAGAATATGGGTAAAACGCGCATGCGGTGCCTTTGTTTTCATACGCACATGTGGAAAAACACAGATGATAAGGGCGAAAGGGATCGTTGAATGAAACGGATGAACCAGAATTGGTTTGTAAAAATGCTGCAACTTCAGTGGTGTGGAACTGGTTTGGCTTTCGTCCGTCAGATACACAACAAAGCACTATTTTTGGTAGAGCATGCTAGCGGGCCGTCGTTATTACCGTGTTTTTTGGAAAATACGGCACACTTAAAATCAATCCTTTGATTTTTCTGAAAATCACAGTGCCCCTTATAATCCCGTGTGCCTTATGTATGAATTCTGGTTGTGTTTACTGACCTCGAAACGATTTTATGTACACGGCGCTCGAAAATCTGTCAAATGTTTTAGTACGACTTTGCTAAGCTACGAAGCCGCACCGCTTGATGGATTGTCGGAGCATTACGGCTATCGTAGGCAGGAGCCTCGCGGAGTGATACGTACTGTGCTTCAACATAATATTACCGTATTGTGTGTGTATAACCTCTTTTTAAGTTTTGTGGATATTATACATGGTTATGCTGAGGATATGTCGGCCAATTTCCACTGGAAATGCCTTTTGGTTAAACTGTCAGCAAGGAATTTGCATTTGCACTGTTAATTTTTATATAACTTTAATGCACATAAAAAAACAGCTGCTTGTTTAAGTGAAAATACATTGATGGTTTTTTGCACTAATAAAGTTGTGGAGTTGTAAAGTATTTTGTCTAGTGTCAATTATATCGTCAGTTATATCGTTATCGCAAATTTTCAAATGTATATCGTGATAAATATTTTTGGTCATATCGCCCTGCTCTATTTCAGTACACAACAAGATATATTTTCTATGTTCAGTCCTGTAGTGGGTTTAGCTGTTTTAGCTGCTGATCTTTGGATCCCATAATTTTTTTTTCTTTTTTTTTTTTGGATGAATGAAATAATGAGGGAAATTGTCTTCCTGTTTTCAGCTGCCATGGGAGCCATCTTTGGAATGACAACATGTCTCAGTGCTCAGGCCCGTGAAGCTCCAGACGACCCGCTGAATTATTTTATCGGCGGCTGTGCCTCGGGGATTTTTTTGGGAGCACGAAGTAAGTATCAGTCCTGACAGATGTGACTAGACAAGAATTCAAAATTTTATTTATTTTTTTCAGGAACACAACAAAAGTTAGTCCTTTTTAAATAAAAAGTGTGATGTGCAATTAACACACCACACTCTTTAGAGCATATTTGTGCTAATGTGCCACAATAATAATCAGCTGTATAACTAAAATGAACTTGGACTGCACTGGAGTGTAATTCTAAATGACATTTTACTTGATCATACTTACTACGTCTGCATAAGTTTCAAACAGTCCTTTTTTGTGTTACTTATTGCTGAGAATCACAGCTGTGGATCTTCTGCACTATTTCTTATAGCACAATGGATTGTGGCCAAAAGAAAAACCCCTTATTGGCCAGTATGAAGAATATATAAATATAAAATTCACAAGAATTTAAAGATATGTTTTCTGTATACTTTCTTTAAATCTTAGAGTAAGTCCCAGTTCTTGGTGTAAACTCCGCTCTGCTGCTTGAGGAAATGCTGCTTAATGAGAAGTTTAGGAATTGCAGTGACTCTTATCATCACTAACAGGTGATGATGGTAGACGGCTTGTTATGGCTAATTAAATCTGTTCTGAACATTTTTCATTTAAAGTCACAGTGGGGATGGGAACTGATAAGAATTCAGCGATTCTGATTCTAATATCAATATCTCTTATTGATTCCCTTCATGATGCTCATTGGCTCCACTTTGAGTCACCACCATCTCTAAGCAGCTTTTCAAAGACATTAATGTGCTGTGTGGTCAAATGTTTGTGCATGTTGGACAACCGATTTCCTTCAGGGGAAAACAAGATCATACATACTGTTAGATTCTGTTCAGTAACAGAGAAAATGTCTCTGCAGTTCTACAGTAGCATTTGGTTTGCCTAATTAAAATCATACTGTGTGCTGTGTCTGTGTGTGTATCTCCAGCTCACAGTGCTATAACTGGTACATCTGCGTGCCTGGGTCTTGGAACACTGGCTTTCTTTACAAAAGTGGGCAAGATGGAGGGATGGAAACTTGCTGGACCACCTAAACTATAAGAGGAAGATGCCCGGAAGATTGTTATATTGTAAAAAATACCTAATGTAATAAAGTTTTTTGAAAAGGCCAAAAAAAATGTTGGTTCGTTTTATTTGATTTCATTTTACATTTGAAAACACTTTTAATTTAAGTAGCTGTTGATGTAGAAACTGGAAAAAATGTTCGGCTATAGCTGTGTCATATGGTTCTTATGTTTACAAAGGTTTATGTGTCCTTTTTTAAAAAAATAGCCTGGAAGGAGCCTAGCTCCTAATAATGTCATTTATTTACACATGCCACAAAATGTGCAAAAACATTGTATTTCTGTGTAATTTAGTGTTAAAAATTATTGTTAATGACATTAACAAGTATTTTTGTTAGACAGCAGGAAAGTCGGATGGTTGCCAGAATTGATTTATTGAAAATTTGCCAGCAGTGCAATGAAAAAGCAAATCACAGCAACACTGAGTGAAATGCTGCGTACAGTACAAATGCATCACCTTCTAATTTTCTACTTTTCACATATGTTTGTGGATGCTGACAGGAATTTTAACCTTTTCTCAAGTTCAAGACTCATTTCCAGTTTTTGGAAAACAAAACTGATGTAGTGCAGACTACAAAAGCATACTTCAGAAGATGGCACTGGTCACTGCAAACTCATAAAACAGATTTTTCTGGTCGAAAGCTGCAATTCTGCTGTATAAGTAACTATTGTGTCTTTTTTATTTTATTTTTTTATTTTTTAAATGAAGAAAAAAAAGCAACTTCAATAAAAGTTATGAAATCCAGCACCAACTCCCCACTTTACTGATGCTTAGTTGCAGGTGCTTCAATTCACATCAGACTTGCTAAGATTAGCATTACCAAGCAGGAAGAGCCATTCCTGAGTCAATTATGCTCAAAGGATATATAAAAGTACAAGATGCTTCCAGACTCCCAAACAATTTTTATTCAGTTAAACATCAGTAGGATGCAAAGGAATAACAAAGTACCATGCAACAGACAGGTTCAAAATATGGGAAGTGGACTAGTTCTTATATGGCACTTTTCTACTCGAGCACTCAAACTCCTCGGGAAAAGCACCAGTTTTCTTGTGTCATAGAGACCATAGGTAATCCCAATTGACCTGTGATAGATACGTATGTCTGTTGTCAAGATATAATAGCTAACCAGTGGAGTTTGACAGTCTCATTAACGAACTTATTAATCATTGACCAGCTGAGTGCACAGATGCACATACCTTTGTCAGGTTCAGAGGAAGGAAAAACAAAACTGTTTCAGTCAGAGGATTCATACATATGAAAAACTGTAAAATAAACGTCGTGTGATCATTGTCTGGGAGAGTGGAATCAACATGTCTACCAGTTTTACAACAGGTAAAAGCTTTTTTGTTTTAATTAAATTTGTTCTTCTATATACAGAACGCTTTATTTAATTGAAACAAAAATAGTTTTGTATGCAGCTTTGCAGAGCATGAAATGGTCAACAAAAATCAGAGAAGCAGCTTATAACACTTAAAGTTCAGGAGTTTTTTATACAGTTAATTTAGCTACTTTCAACCTCTACAGTCTGTCACCACAATAGTTGAATCTTTTCTTTAAAGACCTTTGACCGAGGGTTATTATAAGGACAATGAAACCAAAGAAAGCTGGAGAAAAGTGGAATAGATTCAAAACGATTGCTTTTACCATTTACACTGTCTAAAGTACTGAGACTTCTTCAATAATATCTACCAACATTTTTACACACTGGTTACAGTCAAAGCATAGATTCATACAGTTCATCCACTTAATGGACTGCACTATATCATTTCCCTCAAAAAAGCATATTAATTCATTTTTTAAATGCAGGTATTTTACGTCTGTTTATTTATGTATTTATTCTTTTATTAGGGCTCACAAGCTTTCAAGCACCACAGAGTATCTACTTGTGTAGGAGTGAAAGCTGTCAGACTGGGTTTTTTAAGGATTTGCAAACTGACAAAAAGGCCTTTGTATAGCATAATTTAATACTGAAATACTTTATTCTGTGTACTTATAGGACTTTATCTACAAGCACAACATGGCCAGTTTGCAATTACCAATTAAAAATTTACTTTTACTTTTGATCAGAGGAAGTCAGAGTAGAGGAAACACACACACACACACACAGGCACCAGACGACAGCTTTGCTTTTGTGCTCAGCTCTCTTCAACATGACGGGCACAGCGTCCACACCACTGCAGACGCCACCCCAATCCATCTGTCAATCTCTTGCTTTCCCCTCACTTTTGAGCAAGACTGCAAGATACTCAAGTTCCCGTCTTTTCTGGCTGAGGACCATGGCTTCAGATTTGGAGGCACTAAGTGTCATTGCAATGCTTCACACTTGGCTGCAAACCACTCCGTTGTAAGCTGAAGGCCACCACTTGATGCAGCTAACAGAACCACATCATCTGCAAAAAGCAGAGATGCAATTCTAAGCCAACCAGACTGTAAGCCTTCCACCACCTGGCTCCGTCAAGAAATTCTGTCCTTAAAAATTATGAATCAAATCAGTGACAAAGGGCAGCCCTGGTGGAGTCCAACACCAGCTGGGAATGATCGTGGGGAAGCTGAGAGCTACCACATGGACCTCCCTAGAGAGCAAAGTGAGCATCCTCAGCAGGCCTCCCTTGACACCACACCCCAGACCACACCACAGATTGACAAAAGGAAAGAATTAAGGTATTGCAATGGCCCAGGTAAAGTCCAGACCCCAACTCGAAATGCTATGATAAGATCTTAAGAAAGCTGTGCATAAATGAATGCCCACAAACCTCAATGAACTGAAGCACAACACTGTAAAGAACATTGGCCTAAAATTCCTCCGATGTGAGAAGGTGACATAATTAAGGGGCCTGAAAAATAAATTAAAGCCCACACAGGTAAATAACGTAATTTAACCAAAAGAAACAAATGTACTGAAATTATATTTCATTAACCTTATTTTTGGTTAATTTTTCTTTTTATGTTTTAGCTTCTGTGAAGCACTCTTTTATTTTTATCTTGATAGGTGCTATATAAATAAAATTTTGCTTTACTTGCTTTTACTTTACTCACCACACAGAGGTTCTGTTGTCTATTTTATATTCAGATGGCAGCCCCCTGCCCACCACTGCAGCTCCCAGCACAGCTCTCACTATGGGTGCTGCTGACATTGCTATTGTTGTTGTCTACTTTATAATTGTCATGGTGGTTGGAATCTGGGTAAGAAGAGACTAAACTAATTTCATATTTACATTTGAATCACTAAACAGTTTATACCAAAGCTAATTTAAGCTTGATTTGTTTGTTCCTTTATGTGTAAAAAATACAAGAAAGTTCTGTACAAATCCATACTAAACATGTTTATATAGAAAAATAAAATTATTTTTACATGTTTTTTTCTACGTGTTTAATTAACTATAGTCATTATGAGTGCATTTCTCCATTTACTAGAAAATGATTCTTGGATGTTCTACAGAGAGTTCATCCTTGTAAAAAATAAACAGATTTTTTTTTGACCCAGCTAATTGAGTTTTCTGATGTAGAAATGTGCAGCATGATTGTAAATGTATTTACTATATTTTGCACCAGATCAATCTTTGGTGTTGTTTTAAAACTGTATTATTCTAATCTTTTGTCCTTGCTATAGTCATCAATGCGTGTCAATCGCAGCACTGTTGGGGGGTACTTCTTGGCTGGTCGTTCAGTGACTTGGTGGCCTGTGAGTAACAAACGATTGACTGTTGTGCATCATATAAAGCTCTTGATTTCAAATCGATTGTCACACGCCTGTGCTATGAGGACCCTGTACGACACACACACAGCCAATGTTCTAATGCAAGGGACTTTCTATTTACAATAAACAACAGACTTAAGTCAAAGTCAAATTTATTTGTATAGCACATTTAAAACAACAACTGTTGACCAAGGTGCTGTACAATTAAGATAAGCAAAAGAAATAAAAACATAGGGAGACATGCACACGCACATATACACATCCACATTCCAATGTGATAAACGAATGCACCTACTTTTGTATATAAATAAAGACCAGAGCGGTAACAGAGCGCACTTCACAGGGCCCCCACTCCGATGTGAGCGCTCTGTGACCGCCCTTGCAAGTAAAAACTGCAGCGTGTGTGTCTCCACTCTCTGACTCTCAGCTGAAGAAGTGTCTTTTAGAATAAATCTCTTGACATCCACCCTGGAGACTGACTGAAGACAAAACTTTGTTAAAATTAAAATAAGAATGAGAAATACTAAATTATAACATTTGATATTTCAAGTTATGGTAGGAATTGTGTTGATTTTCTGTATAAACTAAATATGACTGAAGTGCATTCACAGGCTGTCATTTAAAAATGTTATTATGTAGTTGTAAGTATTTTAAGTAAGTATTCTAAAAGCTTTTGTTGTTATTGTCTATTATCTCTGTTCCACTACAGATTGGAGCCTCTCTGATGTCCAGTAATGTTGGCAGTGGTTTATTTATTGGTCTAGCAGGGACAGGAGCAGCTGGAGGAATCGCTGTTGGGGGATTTGAATGGAACGTAAGAGATGCACACACACACACTCAGACACACACACACCCTGTTGGGCACTGCATGCAGGATTTAAAATAACAACATGATCATTCAGTAGTTTCTTTGTAAGGACAATCATTTCATAATCAGTTTGTGATTCAATCGGGTGGCAATGAAGCTAATATGGGAGAAATATGATTTTTTTTTTTCTTCTTGTCCCTGGAAGTATTCTCAGTTAAGTATTTTGGATCAACTGAAGGGTTTTCAGAAAACATTTAGGACAACATGATTACAGGGAATTATAGTAGTCCAGCCTTGATATAAGACAGAACAACGATGAAAAACTATGTGTACATGCACCACAGAAATTATTCATTTAACTATTGCTTTTTGTTTCAATGCAACTTTTAAGAGTTGCTCCGAGTATTTCTACATCTTCATTGTGTTGGTTGTAACATTATATGTTTTGGGGTTTCTTTTTACACCAAAATCAGTTAAATCAGTTAACACTAGTTGACTATGAACAGGTTGTATTCAACTATCTAAATATGCGACTGTCCGAGCTGGATCACTGCAAGACTAAAGATTTAGATATGCTATGTAAATAGGGCGAAAACTCCCAGTAGACGCTTGTTTGGTACTTCTTCATTTGTGCTATTTAAAACTTTGCAATGTCCAAAAGTGAAAAACATGAACAACTGTTATATTTACTTTTGACAATACGGACAATGTCTCAGTGCAACATTTTGTGTTTCTGTGTGTTTCTGTAGGCATCGTGGGTTCTGGTAGCTCTGGGTTGGATATTTGTCCCCGTTTACATCTCTGCTGAAGTGGTAACAATGCCTGAATACCTGGCCAAACGCTTTGGAGGCCAGAGGATACGCATATACATGTCTGTTCTGTCACTTATTCTCTACATTTTCACCAAAATATCAGTAAGACATTTATTTTTTTTTCAAAAATATAAATGATCTTAATATGATACAGTAGCCACATTACCTGTGTGTGCGTGTGTGTGTGTGTTTCCCAGACAGACATTTTTTCCGGGGCATTGTTTATCCAGGTGTCATTTGGGTGGAATCTGTATCTGTCTACAGTCATACTGTTGCTGGTGACTGCTGTCTACACTGTGGCAGGTAAAACACAAACACGTTTTGACTGTTTTTAGTATTAATGTTAAAAGTTATGTCAGTGCAAGCTTTCAACAGCATAACTGTTTGCCATCATTTAAAATAAATTACATCAGTTTTTTATCTGATGGGTTTTTCTGGACGAGAACCAATTTTTTTATCCCACATGCAGTATCCCAGTATCCCAGCAAATTTTGATTTAGTTAGTCTCTTGACCAAAATGTCAAACTTTTTAGTCATAATTCTTTTTGGTTTAATCAATTTTTAATCAACAAAATATCACAAGACTATAATATACTATAGCAGGAATGATGCTGATGAGTACCAAACACAACACTGGAGACATTAATCCAAGTGTCTAAGCAAAGGGCTTTCTGGAGTTAGTAATGAAGAGTCGACTGTCCATGGGATCGTCAGACACTTCTTTTCCACAATATTATACCCACCTGATGTAAACCACAGGGCAGTCAACCCCCCTTCCTGCTAGGGCAAAATGGCCCTCAGGCCTCTGCTCCACAGCACAAAAAGGGAGGGAGAAGTTAAGAGCAGGGGTTTCTCACGTCCCAAGTGGTTCCCCAGATACTGTACCTCCCTCCGTCCAGCCGCACACTTCTTTGTGTTGGCCATGTGCTTCACCTGCCTCAGGAAATCCAGGACCGCAACCACTGAATATGCTCCGCCCAGGTGTTGCTATGGATGATGATGTGTTCCAGATAGGCGTCAGTATACAAAGTGTGCGGTTGCAGTACTCGGTTCATGAGGCGCTGCAAAGTGCCTATTTTTTCCTGGACGCTGCAGACAAGGCAATCTGCCAGTAGCCCATGGTCACATTCAGTGTTGTGAAAAAATGAGCTGTGCCTAACCAGTCCAGTAGTTTGCTGACCCCGGCGCATGGGAAAAGCAGACGTGGGGTCACCCAGCAGCCACGGTGCAGAAGCCACAGGGGGCTGCAGTGACGATCCCGCAGGCGTGGAGACAAACAAAAATGGACACTGTACACACACTGACACTCGCCAAACATACTCTATACCCCAGGTCCTGGCACCATTGCCCCCAGAGGGGCAATCCACCCCAAGACCCAGGAGAAGTTACCCTTTTTCCTGGGGTGGGGACAGTCCTGCAGCAGCAGGGAGGCCCAGCATCCCAGACCCCAAACAGACGGCCAATTCCTCCTCCCAGCCCCCTGCCCCGATGGCGGAGAGAACGGGAGTGTGAAGACCCCATACCTCTCCCTGTCTCTCATGTGTAGTGTTGCTGCGTGTTGTTCTAAAGTGCATTTAAAACATGGGAGGGGCTGCCAGAGAGCAGCAGGTGACACCACGGCCCAGGAACCCTCAGTGTCTACATGCATTTAAATTGAGAGGTGGGCACCAGAGGTGAGGTTGAATACACAGACCATCCTCTGGACGCCGTATAGCACGCCCACCCCCAAGGCCCTATATGTATGTGTTATGAGAGTGTGAGTAATGTGGATGTCTATGTTGTGGAATAAAAATGAGGCACAGGAGGCCAGAAGGTGACAGAGGAGGAATCCCTCCCCTGCACCTTGGTGACACACCTCTACCCCAAGACACTGCATGTGTGGGTGGGTGTGATGGAGGCTGTTTCCCTCTCTTACTAACATTCAGGAAGTCCAGCAGCCAGTTACACATGGGGGTGCTGATACCCAGGGAGCTGAGTTTCCTCACCAGCTGCTGGAGAACAATTGTATTAAATGCTAACTTAAAGTCAACAAGGGGTGATGATGAAACATTGTCATCTACTGTTTTTCAAAGTGTCTGTAATTATGATTTTAAGGGAAATGAAAATGTTACCATGTTTGTTCAGTGCTCAGAGTGCAGTTTGTATTTAGTAACTCACTGTGACAGGAATGATGGACCCGACCACATATTTTGCTCTTTACACACTTCTTTATTCCTGGTTGCTGCTCTCCCAACAATTGGCTGCAGCATTTCAGCTACAGCCACACAACAACAACAACAGCAACATCAACCTCAGGTCCTGGCACATTTGACATAGGGTGATGAGCTGATCGAGCTCAGGTGTGTCAGCCTCCCCCACAGCCGCGCCACAAACCACACCCCGCCACACTCACCTAGTTCAACTGTTTTTGAAATAAGAATTTGCTAAATTATTTATGTTGAAAACGGTCTAAATAACACTATTACCCTAACACAGACAATCTGACAATAATATAAAAATCTGTATTTATGTAGGTGGTTTGGCAGCTGTGATCTACACTGATGCTCTCCAGACTTTGATCATGGTTGGAGGAGCTTTTGCCTTAATGTTCATAGGTATGGTACACAGACTTATACAGATACACAAACACAATCATGGGTTCTTAATTACATGACTTACATAGTACTGAAAGTTTGGATTAAAAGGTGTTATTGGCCGAAATGTTTCAAGTTAAGTATCAATCAAAAAATAGAAAACTGTTTCTTTGCATCCAGTTATCCTCACTGAAGGCTTCCACATCTACATGTCATAATATTTATTAGTTAATAAGTGAAGTTATAAAATTGTAAAAGTCATTGTACATTTTCCAGCATTCTCCAAGGTGGGCTGGTATGAGGGCCTTATGGATCGTTACATGTCAAGTATTCCCAATGTGACTGTTCCCAACACCACCTGCCACTTACCCCGTAGTGATGCTTTCCACATGTTCAGAGACCCTGTAACAGGGGATTTACCCTGGCCAGGTCTACTGTTTGGGCTCACCGTACTGGCTACATGGGTCTGGTGCACAGATCAGGTGATTTGATCTACACTAAAATTCAGCATGGTGTAGTAATGTTATTGTAGCGGCACACTGCTGTGGGAATGATCCTGGAGGTGGCGGTCTCAAAAACTGATAACATTCGTCTTTGTGAGTCTAAAAAATATGTCCCAATACAAATAAATAATGCAACTGATTTTAATTCCTCAAAACACACCTTGAACTCTTTATAACATTCTTCCTTCTCAGGTTTGAATGTAAATGACAAAAGGCAGCATTTGCATACTTGGTCAAAAATGAGTATTACCTGCTATAGCCAAGGTAATGCCATCCAGAGTCTCTGGAGCAGCATATCTCTAGTTAGAGATATGCTGCTAAGATATTTAGGGCAACCTCAGTTTTAACAGTTTTAATTTCTAACAAGTCAGTGTACTCTTAATGCCAGTCTCAAGCTCAGATAAATGGGAACAGTTGGATCAAGAAGGGCATTAGGCATAAAAACATGGCCAAATAAAACACGCAGATCATCTATAATGAAATTTCTATGCTGGATTGGTTGTGGCCCAGGTTAACAATGTCCGCCAACAGGGTGCCAGTGGAAACTGTGCTACTGTTGGCCAAAAGAAAGAGGTGAAGTGGAAGAGGCAGCATGAGTAAAGAAAAGTCACAGATGTGGAAGTGAGAGTAGAAACTATAAATTCAGGGACTATAGAATAGAATAGCCCTTTATTGTCATTGTACATGTACAAGAAAATTGTGGGTGCTCCACACCAACTGCGCCACAATAGAATATAAATAGTAGACAGGAGGAATAAATAGCAAATAGTAAATATATATCATCAAGAGGGATATATACAAAAGAAGAGAAATCTATAAAAAGAAATAAGAGAAAGGCACACATTAGAGAACAAAATAATTGCAAAGTGCTCAAAAGTGGTGCAAAGAAAAGACTTGCTCTGAGTATAGATTCAGGCTGGTTTGTGAGGAAATCTTTGCCTGTACTTCACTCGTCTTCCAAAGTTTTCAGTTAGGAAAAACTAGCTGGAGGCGAGCATCATCTGGTTATGTTTTAACAACTTTTGAGGGGTTTATTTACTGAGTGGGGTGTAGGCAGAGGAAAGAGTACAAGGAGACTTGGTGGTGGAATGAGGAAGTAAAGCAAAGTATTCAAAGGAAGAAGTTACCAAAGAAAAAGTTGGATAGGCAGATGAAGAAAGTAGACATGAGTACTGGGAAATTCGGCATACCGCACAAAGAAATGCTTATAAGGAATTGTATGTGAGGTGGGATACTAAGGAAGAAGGAAAGGACTTGTATCCGTTGGGTAGCCAAAGAGACTGAGCTGGAGCAGACATGTAAACGGTTTCATTAATTAAGGATAGAGATGGAAACAAGTGAACAGAGTTTTTTGAGGAAGAAGGAGTACTTTGACGAGCTGATGTAGACAATGAGAGAGAGAGGATCACAGTCATTTGTCCCTGTGTTACAACACTAAATATGAAACACCCCCTCCCTTTTTTAACATTAAAAAATTCCGTGAATTTCATTACTTATTTGAATTCAAACATATTTTTTAGACTCAAAAAGTTATTTGTTATCCGTTTTTTGAGACTATCACCTCTATTGATCATTCTCACAGTAATTTGGCGATGAAATATTCTTACTGCATAACGCTGTTTTACTTCTCATTGCATCACTTCCAAACCTATCCTGCTTTTCTACAAAACGTAATTACTTCTGATCGGAGAGATGAGAATCTCTCCAGTACATCTTCATCTCAATTGTGTCAAGTGTCATTGTCCATTAGTTTTTGTTCAGTTATCATTTTGCTTATGTCAGGGAAAAAAGATCATCTACAAAGACTATGACAAGAATTATTGGTCAATACAATTAACAGTGTTTAACTGTATTGTAATGTCATGTAATGTTGACACTTCACAAACCAGAAACCACAACAATATTTCAGAAAATGCTATAATGAAAAACAAAACACAACAAGAATATACAAAAGTACATTATCTGAACTACAGTTAAGACACAGGGATGCATACACCTGTAAAGGCCAGCTTGCCAATAGTTACTCTTAATCATTAACCAACATTAATAAAAATGAGAACTGATTCATATAATCATGTCTGTGTTCTCTACTAGCCTTATATAACTGGGCAATGACAGATAACCCACAAGCTAGGCAGCTGAAAATCACATTTCCCCTTCTGAATGTGATAGACTTTCACTAAACTTGTCAACAGCTTGCTAATGTTACCAGCTTTATGAGACCTGATGCATTTGTGAGGTTTGCACGCACTGACTGTAGAAGTGTAATCACATTTTTGAGTGTTTAGTTCTCTACTATTATCATTAAAACTAGAATCTGTGTGCACACACACTTGCATATTTTAATACAGTATTTATTACTATTACTTATATTTGTGTTACTTATTGTGTATAAATAATATAGAAGGTTTGCAAATGTAAAGTTGAACATTACAAAAGTACAAAATGTGTAATGCAATGATGGATAAAAATGATTATATGTTTATGCTGGTGTGTGTTTTTTCTTCAGGTTATAGTCCAAAGGTCTCTGTCAGCCAAATCTTTGTCTCATGCTAAAGCCGGCAGCGTGTTGGGTGGCTATCTCAAACTGCTCCCTATGTTCTTCGTTGTGATGCCAGGAATGATAAGTCAAGCACTATTCCCAAGTCAGTAGTATACCTCTCAAAGTGGGAATGTTATGTGAAATGTTTTTTAATATTGTTCTATATGCATACTTATATAATACCATTTTGATTACCTTGATATTATTATATATATTATAACAGATGATGCATCTCTTATTATTGTTATTATTGGTTTAAAGAGATTGTTTGCAACTCCTTTTTCAACAAACCTACACTATGACACCATTCTAAGCAGGTCTCCACTTAACTTTACGTTGGAAAAATTATCACATTTTTACGTTTGTTGACACTTTCAATTCATGTTAATGGAGTGGGTAATTGTAGGTAACACATCTGTGGTGTTTTGTCTCATTTAATATAAACTAAATTGTTATTTGTTTCAGCCCCACCTTTGTTTTCTTCTTTATTTGTAGATGAGGTTGGTTGTGTGGATCCAGATATCTGTCAAAGTGTGTGTGGTGCTTCAGTTGGTTGCTCTAACATTGCTTACCCTAAACTAGTAATAGAGCTAATGCCTGTGGGTAAGACACACACATACACACACACTCATTTTGATATCTTAGTGAAGACATCTAAAAATCGAACTGACATAATGCTTTCCCTACCTGCTTACCCTAACTCTAACTATCAAAAAGGAATGCTTAACCCTAACCCTTAGCCTAAACCTTACCATAACCTAATAGTAACCCTGACACTAAGACCACATTTTAAAGTTTGAAAACTGAGGACCGTGAGGACAGGCACTTTCTTCACAAGTGACTGTTGGTCCCCACAAGTATAGTAACACACACACACACACACACACACCTATCTATCTATCTATCTATGTATGGCACAAGAAGTAAGAACATTTTTGTTTGCTCAGTTATATCTGTGTTTTAACAATGCCTCTTGGCAAGAAATCTTAAACTGTTGAAATTGTGTTTATTTCCCCTTAAATGGTGCCACAATTGTAGGGAGAATGTATTTATGGATTGAGCAGTAGAATCAAACCCAATCTTCTCTGTCAATACTAAACAGCTTATTCTGCTATTGACTCTTCTTTTGAGCTTCTGGTACCCAAGTTGCTGACAATCAGGTGTGCGACTGGGGCCTAATTAAAAGCAACTGTAAGCAGGGACCCTGCTACAGCACTCAGCATGCCACATTTGACTAATCTCAATAGGGACCGTACCAACCTGGAGCTGGTCTTCCATAGAACCAGGTTCAATTCGATTTATTTCAATTCTTTTTTAAATAGCACCAAATCACATCAGCAGTCACGTGCATGCTCTTCATTATTTGGAATGAGCCCCCAGAACCATCTCTAAATTGAAGGCCAAGTTTCATGTAACGGGCGATGTCAGCTACAGGCCACATCCCAAGAAGATGGCACAACAGGAAGACAGTTTCCTCACCCTGTCAGTAGTAGACAGTCTTTTACAGATTTGTAGAATAGAAAAATCTATGTTCTTTTTGCATGGCAACATCTGACAATAAGCAGGTTTTATAAAATGATGTGCCATCATTTTTTTCTTCTTCACAGGACTTCGTGGTCTGATGTTGGCAGTGATGTTAGCTGCTCTAATGTCATCCCTGACTTCCATTTTTAATAGCAGCTCTACTCTGTTTACACTGGACCTCTACCACAAAGCCAGGCCTAAAGCTTCTGAGTTGGAACTTATGATAGTTGGAAGGTAAGATTGACAATACAATACAAAACCAATACAAAACTCAGATGTTCTACAACATTAATACCAAAGCTATACTTACCCTAAATACAGTTTTCAATTGAGCAAATTAGTAACATGAGGTTGAAGAGCCCAGAGGCCAGAATTGGTATGGGGACCTATAAACAGATTCAAATACAGGAAGCAAAAGTAAGATGTTCTCACAAATTTTATTGAGCGACAGAGTGTAAAACTAAGGCACAGGGAATGAATGTTTGGTGTGGAATCTGGACGTGGGGGATGGTGAAACAGATGGAGTCTATGGCTTACTTGACAGTGGGGGAGGTAGTGTTGGCTGGGTGAGTGTCCGATAAAGTGGAGTGGAGTGAGTCCAACCTGAATGACCCAGAGATGCAGAGCTATGAATGTAGGAGAGCAGGCAGGTGGTGAATAGTGAGTCTGTGTGAGAGAGGCTGTGAGTGGAGTCCTAGAGAAGGTGACCAACGTCCAGGGGGGTATGCGTTCTGCAGGCAATGGAAGAGGTGATCCAAGAGGCTATTGAGGGCACAAGAGAACAAGGTAAGTTTACAAAGAACTAAGCACTAGAGACAAAGGCGTCCTGCCACTAACATGTGGTTAGTCTACGAACTGGCGAAGAACAGATGTCGGGGCTGGTCTTAAATACTGCCTTAGATTAGCCTGGATCTCCAACAGGTGCAAGTAGCAAATGTACTCACCAGGGCTCTGCCCAGAGGAGGACACACAGGGACACCATGGGAAAATCCAGACGACTCACCTGGACCATTACAGTAGTATTAATCAGAGCCAGACTGGGTTTGGCTCCAAGGGCTGAACAGAATGTTTTCAAAACCTGGGAGGTGAACTGTGGTCCTCTGTCTGACACGATCTCAGTCAGGATGCCGTACAGGCTAAACACATGATCCACCAGGATGTTAGCCGTCTGGGATGCTGTGGGAAGTTTTTTTTAGGGCGATGAAGTGCTTGGATTTGGAGAACCTGTCAACATCAGTCAAAATGGTCGACTTTCTGGAGGAAACAGGCAGGCCGCTAACAAAACCTAAAGCAATGTGGGATCAAGGCTGACTGGGAATGGACGATTGGTTGAAGCAGAACTGAAGGACGTTGAGTTTTATTTTTGTTCCGTGCAAAGATGGTGCATGCGGCCGAATAATCCCGGACATCCTTATCTAAAGTCTCCCACACAAGAGCTTGGCTAATGGCCTCCTCCACATCCCAAGTAATGTAACCAATCTTACAGGTGGGCAGAAGTATAGTTGCAATCTCAGAGATGTCAACCTCAACTATGAATGGTTTAGTGTCTAGGTGAATTAGGACTGGTGCTGATGAAAACAGATACTTCAATTTGGTGAAGGCGGCTTCAGCCTCAGGGGACCAGATGAACGGGACTTCAGTGGATGTGAGCTGTGTAAGAGGTGCTGCTACCTGACTATAGTTGCAAATGAAGTGGTGATAGAAGTTGGAAAAGCCGAGAAACTGTTGAAGATATTTATGTTAGGTAGGTCATGGCCACTCCTTAACTGATTGAACCTTTGCTGGGTCAGTCTTCATCTGCCCCCCTGCCAGAATGTATCCGAGGAATGAAACAGATGTTTAGTAAAATCCACATTTCTCAGCCTTGACATATAACCTGTTTTCCAAGAGATGTTGGAGGACTGCACGAATGTGAACTTGATGCTCCTGAAGGAATTTGGAGAATATTAGTATGTTATCAAGATAGACAAAAATATTCAGAAAATCTCTGCGAACATCATTCACCAGTGCCTGAAAGACAGCAGGGGCATTAGTAAGACCAAACGGCATCACCAGATTTTCAAAATGACCTAGAGAGTATTAAATGTGGTATCATGCTGCTTTTTTGTTTTACTTTATTCTTTTTTATGTAATCCTGCACATAGACATAGACAGGTGAAATGTGGATAAGGCAGGATCTAGGGAAGTTTGCATGTTTGGGTATGTTCTTGTTGATGGCATCTGGTCATGATCTTTTGTTTAGTTAGCATGCTATTTGTTTAGGGTAAGTTTGTTACGTGAGTGCATACCTGTGGAAGTGGTGCAATCACCAAGACTCCTCCCACTTCCACAGGTATGAAGACCAAAAAACTGTGTTTTTTCTGCTCTTCTTCACCTGATCCCAGCTGTGAGTGAACCATTTGAATGTGTGATCGTGGACTGTGTGGGCCCATTGCCTAAAGACAAAAACTGGACATCAATTTCTGCTAATGTTAAAGTGTGCTGCTACACATTTCCCAGAAGCTGGTCCATTCAGGAGGATCTCCGCACCTCTGGTCATTAATACCTTAACAAAGTTTTGTACTACCTTTTGGAGCTCAGGAATCAAACATATAGCAGCTAATGCTTATCATCCTCAGTATCAAGGAGCTCTAGAGCAGTGGCACCAAATCCTTGGATCAAAGTTACAGAAATACTGCTTAAACACAAGTAAATACTTGGATGAGGAAGTGCCAATGGTTGTGTTTGCCATACAGGAATCACTTTTTGGGCACAGTCTGGGGGCATAATCAAAACTGATGTTCTGGATTATGTTTCAAAATTTAGAGAGCACACAGCCCTTTTAGTTGCAGGTCCTATCATCTGCCCAGGCGTCAATGTAACATTGGTATGATAAGATAGCAGTGTCCTAGTCCTTAATGTCACCTGGCAAGAAGGCTTGTTTCTCAGGACCTTAGGTGGTCAAAAAGAAGGCATGTGAACCTGATTATGAGGTTAAAGACCCCTGACTGGAAGCAACAAACCCATGTACCACAGCAGAGATGACATTTCCTCAGATGTTGCAAAACCGCTAGTTGTACCTTTGGCAACTGTATCAGCTGGTGACCCTGAGACCTCTCCAGTTCCCATCTCTTCCCTCATCTTTAAGGAGTTTAAGTTAAGTTTTCATGTTTCCGCTGTAGAGTGCTCTGAGTATGCAATGGATCTGAAACTGTTTAAATCTTCATTTTTATATTATCATCAGTTAAAATTTCAAAGGACAACATTTAATTTCTAGATAATTGTGCTATTAATAGTAACTCTGGGCCCCTGTGGAGTCGGACTAAAATAGGATTAAAAAAAGAAAACTAAGGAATCATTTAAACATATAGACTCCAAAAGTAACACAGGTGCGTAGCATCGCTACTTAACTAGCAACGAATTAACAAAAGGGATTACAGAGTGACGTTAGATGTTCTATAGAACTATAAGATGTTAAGATGTGTCTTGTTAATTATAGTGATGTGGTTGTATTTTCTGTTGATTTAATGAACTGTCAGTCACAGTTTTAGCAGCAGAGCTGAAGGAGTCAGACTATGTGAAAAAGTGTACTGCGCCGACTCTGGCTCCAAAAGTGCAGCATGGCAGCTCCTGCAAACAGGAAATCTTGACTATCTTATCTATATCTTCCATCTTTTCTACAGTCATTGGTGGGGCTAGGTTAATCGAAAATTTTAAGTTGCCCTTTGGTGTGAATGGAAGTCAAATGGTTGTTTGTCTCTCTGTGTTAGCCCTGTACCAGACTGGCAATATGTCCAAGGTATACCACGCTGCTCGTCCTATAGTAGCTGGGATAGGCTCCAGCCCTCCATGACCCTGATAAGGATAAGAAGCAGACAATAAATGGATGGATGAATAGATGGATGGATAATAACAATAATGCGTGTGTTTTCAGGGTGTTCATCCTCGTCTTGGTGTGTCTTAGTCTGCTGTGGATTCCTGTTGTCCAGACAGCCAATAGTGGACAGCTGTTTGACTATATTCAGTCAGTGACCAGCTTTTTAGCACCTCCCATTACTGCTCTATTCCTAATGGCTATCTTTTGGCCACGAGCCAACGAGCAGGTATGTCTGCCTCTTCAGATTCAATCCAATTCAATTGTATTGGTCCCTGTGTCATTCTATCCCTTGCATCCTCTTATGTTAAACCAACTGACACCTTCACTACATTCACAAATGTCCTCTGAAGTCTTCCTCTTTTCCTCCTGCCTGGCAGCTCCATATTCAGCATCCTTTATCCAACATATCCACTATTCCAACTCTACATATCTCAACTCTAGCTTTGTCTCCAAACTGCTAAACATTTGATGTACTCATTTTCTAATCTTATCTATCCTAATCTTGTGATTGGAAGAGGACGTGTAGGATGGCTTTCATGTGCAAATCCATCCTCAGACTACTCTCCAGTGTGTGTGTGTGTGTGTGTGTGTGTGCCATTCCCTAGTCTTGAGATTCTTGCAAGTTGATATATAGAGATATGTCCTGTCTCCTCTTAATTTCATTTAGAGCTCTTTCGTTTTTTTAGTGCAGTCACTGTTGAAGTTTCCTGATGCTGTTACGATGATACCAAGGTTCGGGCCATGGCTGGGAGCTGCATTTCAGCCAGTGGTGTTCGAGATTTTTGAAAGTATCTGATTAACAGCAGCTTCATTTTTCAGCATGACAATGACCCCAAAAATACAGCCAATACAGTGAAAACATACTGGATAGAAAAATACACAATAGAACACCACCAGTCGTTGACTGGGCCTCTCAAATCTTCAACATTACTAAAGCAGTATGAAATCACTTTGACAGAGAATTTAAAAGAAAATAATAGATATGTAAACACAATTTTAAAAACAAGCAGAAACCTTAATAACTTGGGTTTTTTTTTTTCTTTGCCAGTTCCAAATTATTCAGCATCTAACGCGTTGTGTATGTCCTCTGTCTCAGGGTGCATTCTGGGGTCTGATGGCTGGACTAGTGATAGGACTGATCCGAATGGTTCTGGAGTTCTCCTATTCACCTCCTTCCTGTGGTCAGCCTGATCACCGGCCTGCAGTCCTAGCTGATGTCCACTACTTGTACTTTGCTCTCATCCTGTTGGCTCTCACATGCCTCATCATTGTTGCTGTAAGCCTGGCCACTGCCCCAATACCTAAAGAAAATGTAAGGAAAATTCCTTATATTATGATATTTTATTTATATTCTGATCTCTGGAGTGGTAATCAGAAGGTGTCTACTGAACAATATCCAGGGTTCATATAACATATGATTCCTGCTGCAAAACAAACGAAAGAAAGAAATGCAAAGGGAAAGTGTAACCAAGTTGCAGTTAAGAAATTCATTTTGATTATGTGGATTTCAACCTTCTTTTGACTGCTTCCTTTAGGGGTCACCAAAACAGATAATCTTGCTTTCATCTGTATGAACTATTGAACCCTTGAGGATTCTTAATCTACAGAAATTGAAGTTGTGAGATTTTAATACATTTAAGGCTGTTCATCACTGGAATCATCATGGGTTACTTTAAACATACAGACCTGAAAAAAATACTTGATCAGGTCTATACAAATACACTGACAGTATATAAGGCGCATACACCTGCGCACCTCGGACTATCAGATCATACCCCTCTCATTCTGATCCCAATGTATACACTGTGGGTGCGCATTGAAAGAACTGCAGTCAAAACAGCGCAAGACCATTTTGATCAAAGGAACTGGGAATTGTTTGCAGGTGAGAGTTATGTGGAAAACTGTGTCTGTTCAGTTTAGGGGTACATAGAGTTTTGTACTGAAAACAATACAACAAAAAGAACAATAAATCTATTTCCTCATTGAAAAGCCATGGTTGAACAGTAATTTTAGGGCTCTACTTAAAAAAAGGCATGCAGCCTTCAGGATAGGGGACAGACGAACCTACAGCACAGGAGAAACTCCAGAGAAGCATCAGGGAAGCAAAGCAAACCATAGAAAATGACAATCCCAGCGGTATGTCGAAGAGCTTTAAGGTACTGATGGACTACAAGACCATCAGAATGCTGCCAGACGATGACGATGCTACACTGCTTGATATCTTGAACAGGTCCTTTCCCTGTTTTGACACCAGGAGAGGAGGGGAATGACTGGTCATTTAGCCAAGTAGACAATACACACTTGTCCTTCAACAGCATCAGATGAGGACTGTGTTAAAAGGCATCAACATCCACAAAGCAACTGGTCAAATATCCTTGGACAAGATATTAACCCTAAGTTGCTCTCCAGTGTGTGTGAATGTTAAATAGAAAGCACTCGTGTAGAAAGAGCATAGAAAAAAGTGCTCATGTCTAGTGAGCATGAGCATATAGTGAGGTTGGGGAGTAGCCAACTAAGTGGTGTAAGGAAAATGATCTAATCTTTAACACATCAAAATCAAGGGGATTGACTTCAGGAGGTCGAGGGTCAAGAAACTATCTCTGGTGAAATAGTGGCGATTGTGGAGAACCGTAAGTAGCTGGGAGTCACCTTCTCTGCACAGCTGACTTGGTTTACAAGAGAATCTTCTTTCCTAGAAAGTTGAAGGAGGCCAGAAGCTCGTGCTGAAGTTCTACGGGAGTATATACTGATGACTCAGAATCAGAATCAGAATCAGAATGGGGTTTATTGCCAGATGTTGAGGTTTACAACATGAAGAAAGTGCTGCAGTGCTTCAGTGCAAACAATAAGAATTAAAGTGCTATGTAGAAAGAAAGATATGTGCATGAGATATACATGAGATATATACATGAGAATAAGAATTATGAGTGCTACGTAGAAAGATATATACATGAGTGCAGGTGGTGATCAGTGCCAAACATGAAATGATGCAGTGACACAGCGTAGGGTCATGTGTTAGTGGCGGGGACAGTCATGTGGTTATTGTTCATGTGTCCAACAGCAGAGGGGAAGAAACTGTTCTTATGGCGAGAGGTTCTGGTGCGAATGGACCGGAGCCTCCTGCCTGAGGGGAGCAGGTCAAACAGACTGTGTCCAGGGTGAGAAGGGTCAGCTGAGATCCGAGCTGCACGCCCCAGTGTCCTGGAGGTGTACAGGTCCTGCAGAGATGGGAGTCTGCAGCCAATCACCTTCTCAGCAGAGCGCACAACACGCTGCAGTCTCTGTTTGTCCCTGATAGTGGCTCCAGCGTACCACACGGTGATGGAGGAGGTGAGGATGGACTCGATGATTGCAGTGTAGAATTGCATCATCGTCCGTGTTGGCAGGTTGAATTTCTTCAGCTGCCTCAGGAAGTACATCCTCTGCTGGGCTTTCTTGATGACGGAGGTGATGGTGGGCTCCCACTTCAGGTCCTGGGTGATGGTGGTACCCAGGAAGCGGAATGAGTCCACAGAGGTGATGGGGGTGTCAGTCAGGATGATGGGGGGGAGTGGGGCTGTGTGCTTCCTGAAGTCCACAATAATCTCCACTGTCTTCTGGGCATTCAGCACCAGGTTGTTGTGGCTGCACCAGGTCACCAGACGTTCAACCTCCCTCCTGTAGGCAGACTCGTCCCCGTCCGAGATGAGCCCAATGACGGTGGTGTCATCTGCGAACTTGATTAGCTTGACAGACTGGTGGGTGGAGGTGCAGCAGTTGGTGTACAGGGAGACTCATGCAACAGTGTGGTATGCCAGCTGTTCTGCTGGTGAAACGAAAGAGCTGCACAGAGTGGTGCAGACAGCAAAGTGCATTACTAGGATGGAGTCAAGGAGGCTGACGGTATCAGCAAAGACAGTACACTCCTGGGATATTCTCAGTTTGAACCGCTTCCATCTGGCAAACAGTTCATTGTTTCCATCTAGAGTGGTAGCTTCCACTACACTACCACTGTAAAGATGGCACAGAAATACTCAGACATTTCAGTACAAACAAAACATAATTGGCTCGACACAACCTTATACAGTCGTGTATAATGCTGCTATTTTACTTCTCTGTTGATGCTGCTTAAGTTTGCTACTAACTTTATTTTTATCTCCTAAATTTGCTTCTAAGTTTAAGTTGTTTTTGTTTTTTTACTTGTATTGTTTTGTCCTAAGAGAGAAAGCCAAACCAAATTGAATTGTACTATGTATAATTAAATTGAAATCATTCATGTATTTGATCATTAGTAATCTGTAATAACTGTTTTTCATTCTTCGTCTCTTTTCATGTGTAGCTGCATAGGCTGACCTGGTGGTCCAGACATAGTCTTGAACCGCGAATGGATCTCTCAAGTCTTCAGATCACCTCTGACCAAGTGGACTCTAACCTCAGCTCAGAGTCTGACCGATTGCAAGAATCCACTTGGAAGAAAGTTGTTCTGTGGCTTTGTGGTTTGTCTAGTTCACGCTCCGAGTCGGCAGCTCCAGTGATTCAAAGCAGTGAACGAAACTTCCTCCAGGAGAAGTCACTCTGGAGAATAGTCTGCGATGTTAACGCCCTGCTACTGCTGGTTGTTAACGTGTTTCTCTGGGGATACTTTGCTTAATGTGGTCATGAAATCTTGAACATGTTGTTGTTTTTCTTACTTCTTACTCTTCTTAATAACTTTACTTTTCTAAACTATTCAGGAAAGAAGTGGGACAGAAAAAGGATTCTCAGATATGAAACAATGAACTAATTATTCTCTATTGTATACTGTATACAGGCGAGAGAGATAAGATTGACATCCAGTTAGCTCATTAACTGCCTTTGTTAGCAAACAATGTACAGCTCAAGCTGCTCAACTTGAAAAAATAAAATAGCCCTTTATTGTGATTGTTCATGTACAACAAAATTATGACATGAGTACAAGTGCATCTGACAGGTACAGTTAGGAAGTAGTGCAAAGGACTTGGTCTGAGTATAGTCTGTATGTGAGTGTAGGTTTTTTGCCACTGTTCTGGTAGACGTTGATCTTGGTTTCATCTGTCCAAAGAATGTTTTTCCTGAACTAGCTTTGTTTTATATTTGTTGTTGTTGTTGTTTCTTTTTAGCAAAGTCCAGTCTCGCCCTTCTATTCTTGAGGTTTATGAATGGCTTGCACCTTGCAGTGAACATTCTGTATTAATTTTCAGTCTTCTTCTTTTATATTCTCATTTATCCAGTATATCTACCATGCCTTTTATGCACTTCTGGACTTTTTCTGCTCTTCTGTTAAAACTATCTCAGCCATGCCACTCTAACTTTGTCCTTCAAACAAATGTAATCCAGTCTCCACCCTGAACTGACCTGAAACCCATCGGTCACTCCTACTGCACACCTCACCAGTGTTTCACTGTTCTCATACATGTTCTGCACTAGTCTTTCTCTATATCCACAATGACACTGGCTGTCTTTCGTCCAGTTTGCCTCCCCTCACAACATGGTGATGGCCGTCCATCCATGAGACTAGTTCTGTTGGAGGTTTCTTCCTGTTAAAAGGGATTTTATTCTTCCAACTGTTGCCAAAACACTTGCTTATAAGGGGGTTATAGGATTGTTAGGGTTTTTCTATTTTCTTTGTATTATTGTAAGGTGTTTACCTTACAATATAAAGCCCCTTGAGGAAACTGTTGTTGTGATTTGGCACTATATAAATAAAACTGAATTGAACTCCCTTTGTCTCTGTTTGTCTGCAACCTCAGCAGATCAAAGGGAAATTAATTTGATCGCTGGTGTGTTCTGTGTTCTCACAGCTACAGTTAAACTCTCAAGATCAGAAATAAGTACAGACATTTTATATATTTTCTAAATAAACAAATTATTACATGCACATTCCTGTGACAACGCAACAGTTTGCTTCACTTAAAAGTAAGGCAAACTGTTGCATTCCTTTTGCAGTGCAGAGTTAAGCTGCACATATAAAATGCATGCCCCCAGCAGAGAATCTATATTGTGCCATTATCACCAGCAGGTGACACTAGTGTTACGTCTCTGAAGTGGAATCTGTTCACGGAGCCAGCAATAAACAAAGGTAGAATTTACATTATGAAAGACCACATATTAAATGTCCATTCTCAATAATTGTTTATTTATTAAAACACAAGTGGAAAGAAAGTACAACTATAGACCACGTTACATTGCTTGGAGCCAGGCCCAGGGGAGGGGCTTGTCAATAAGTGCCTGGTGGTCAGGCTAGCCCGTGCAGCCTGGCCGGGCTCAGTCACATCTTAACATAACATATTAATGTAATATGCCTGTCTTACAGAAGGTGCACACCTCTTTTTTATTACAGAAGGCTGTGATGACTAACTGAAACCAGACAAAAAAAAATTTATCTATACAGTAACGTGCATCACAGCTTGTAAATCATAGCACATTTTCCATAAATGCAAAAATGTGAAGAAATAACTGCCTTCATGTCTGGTTATCAACCTTTATTTTTTCTGTTTAAAACAAATGGAAAAACTCAACAACACATAAATATCCATATTTACAGCATCTGTGGTAGTGTAACACAGCCTTCTGCATTCTTTCTTCTATACTACACCCATCTGGTCCTCATGAGAGCGCTGGTGGAAGACAAAGGACACAGCAGCATCCCAAGACGCTTTCAGCACTTGGTCCCTCAGGCCCTTCTTGTCAGAACAGTGGTTCCAATGGGAGAGGTCACTGTTACAGTCAGCATCATTGTCAGGTTGTCTTGTTTCTCTGCCATTCACACAGCGGCGACAGCGAAACCTAATACAGGAGGGGAAAGAGAGGCTGATTAAGGGCGTGCCATACATTAGGATCCATAGTGTGAGATTATTTTTCTATCATAAGTTGCGCAGAGAAAAGACAAATAATTTCATTTCAGCGGAGCAATTAAATTTCTCACGTGTGAAGAACTTAGCAGCAATGAACACAGTGTCTGCTTTGTGCAGCTACAGTTTCCCCCCTCGCGGGAGGCTTTTTCCACCTACAGAGGAATCCTGCTAACACGAATCAACTGACTTTTGACTGGATGCCCATAGGATCCTTTGATCAACAGTTCAGGTGATTGTGTTAAACAGTTACATTGGTTATTTACTGCGTAGCAGTATATATACTGACAACAGTCACTGGATGACATCACTGCTGAAGAAATCTTTAAAACCAGAAGATTCAAAGGTAAGTTCTGAAGCCTCTGCACTGCTGTCCCATTAATCTGCATGCCCTTTATAATTAAAAATAACAAGGATGAGACAAGGAAGTGTGCATCATAATCAATCAATTATAATTATAGCCAAAATAGAAATATAACCATGCCACCAAAAAGCTGCTCAGTCAGCAGCAAACACGTTCACTTTGGTGGGACGTGCAGCTACAAGTGATAAATCAGTACAGACCGAGAAACTGTAGCCGTGGCCGCAAAGCACACAGTCCTGCAGGTGCGACGGCTTCTTTGTGTGGCTGTTGAGTTTTACACGCGAGGGTCGTTAAATTTAAGCACAAAGAATTTAATTGTGCTGTTGAAATTAAATTCTTTTCTTGGATTATGTTTTTTTCTTGAATGCAACTTATGATAGAAAAATAATTCCATACATAGCATAATAATGGCTTCAAACCATTACTATCCACGTCAACCTAGCAATGAAAATGCCATAACTAACAACTTCGAATCACTTTTCACGACAGTGTCAAACCCTCTCAGTTTTGCTCAAATAACTATTAATATCAAAAACTCACATTAACCTCACTTGGTGTCAGTTCTTGTGCGAAAGCCCATAAAACCTAAAAGCACATGATAGGCTGCCCAGAACATGATAGATGCAAAGATCTAACTGCAGCTGCAATGAGCTCTCAACTCAGAGAAGAACACATAACCTTTTACAGCTACGTCACTTGTGCCAAGAAAATTTCTACAAGATATTTGGGCTTTAATTTTAATTTACCATTTCTAGAGTAAATTAAGCTCTCTGGACAATTAGTAGACTGAACAGCACAGACAACGTGTGTGAGTAATGTGTTGTACTTGTCGTGTGTGTCACTAGTGGTCTCTTCGTTGAGAGTGAAGAGTTCTCGGAGTTCGCCCAGAGAGAAGTGACGCTCCACATCCTGCTCTTCATCCACCACACAGCTGCTCAGGGCTTTTTTATGGGCCTGCCTTTGCAGGATCTTCTCTTCAATTGTTCCCGTCTGTCGGGAAACAAGCACAAGTCAAAACAGGTAAATCTGTAACCAGCTCAGTGTAGATTTCAAAAGTAACCTGCTGTACTAAAACACTGAATGTGAGGTCCTAAACACTGTTGAAAATGCACTGAACTGACAGAGAGAAGTCGGTAGATGTAGCAGGTCTTCTTCTGACCATCTCTCCACACCCGAGCCATTGCTTGCTCGTCATTCGCTGGGTTCCAGTCGGGATCAAACATCACCAAGCGGTTAGCACCAATCAGATTGAGGCCACATCCACCAGCCTTGCTACTCAGCATGAAGATGAACTCTGGGTTCTGAGAAAAAGATGTCTTCAGACGCTGTTCAGAAGTCTTTCAAAGCTCTAAATATTGCTTCAAACTGATTTTCCAACTCACCGATGGGCTGTTGAACTTTTCCACAATCTTGGCTCTTTTCTTGATGGACATTGTGCCATCCAGCCGAACATAGAGGTATCTGACAAAGACACAAAGGAGGAGGAATTAAAATCATTTAAATAGCGCACTTAAAATAGTGATTTCTGCAAATATACCTTCTAGATCTGCAGAGCTTTTCAAAGAGATCCAGAGTCTGTGTGTAGTTGGAGACAAGCACCACTTTGTCTCTTGTTGTGGTCTTTGTCATTGCCAGAATGTAGTCGAGAACCAGCATTTTCCCTGAAATAAACAAAGCAATAAATAGAGAGAGGGGAGGCTGCATGACTTCAAAATAGCACCACCCTTTAGACACATTTACAGAAAATTAGTCTTAGCAAAAGAAGGCAATAAAAAAGTTAATTCTTATAAAACAATATTTTCTTTAATATTATGTAAATGTAAACATTAGACAAGCTATTAAATTGTGAAAACAACCCTGTTCACATTTTTACTTAGCTTATCTGACCTAATGTTCTGCTTACATTCTACTAATCTAATGCTAATCTTCTTCCAACTAGTAAGTGTGGATGACCTGGAAGACCATCAGAGGAGCTGCACCACGATATGCTGTGCACGTTCTTACCAGAGAGCTGAGGTTCAACATCTTTGGTGGAGTAGTTTGGAGGAAAAAGTTCTAATGCCCCTTCAAATCCCTCCTCCCGTTCCACACACTTCTCATAAATAAGAGCTGGATCTGAGAAAGATGGCACTCATTTGTATTTTTTCCAAGCAGAAGATAATTCTAGATGTAAGACGACAATCTTCTTTTCTATTAATAGTTTACATTTTAGCTCAATTATGAGAGGACAATTTTTCTGATGATCACTGTAGTGTTCACAGATGCAACATTTTGTGTTACATTTTTCTCACTTACGATTGCACAGTTTCTTGAGTGATGTGATGGAAGACAGGGAGGAGACACTTATTTTGCCCTTTTGTAATGTCTCAATGGGTTTGGCCTGCTTTAGAAAGTGTTTATAGAGCTCTGTCTGTAGAGGGGTCAGCCTGCAAGGAATCACAAAGAGACACAAATTCAAATCAAATTCCATGTAAATTAAATCCTGTTTACATTTTTGTTTTGGGACACTCCATACTCCCAAAACACCTCCCACAGGACACCCCGAGGGGCACGTTCGAATGCCTTCTCCAAGCCTACAAGACAAATGTAGACTGGTTGGGCAAATTATTAATTATTATTTATTAATTTTTAAACTTAAATTTTTTTTAAATCCTACAATACTGCTTTCTTGAGCTATTGTGTTTTCAAAACTTGGCTCTGATACGAGATTTTTAGTAGATGCATGTATGGTTTCAATTTGAAAACCCTCATTTTCATCTTAGGTGATTTATCGTTTTTCACAAGATTTTCAGACAACTTGAACAATAACGTTGAGGTCAAAGTCACCAAGATTTTAAACTTTGAGATTTTTAATAGATCTGAAAAAGAAAAAAAAAAAACCCTGCGTCACCTCGTTCTCAAGTTATTGTGTTCACAAAGTTGGGTGTCCATGGTGCCCAGCACCCACCCAGCCAGCAGAGTGAGGACAATTTATAAAAATTTAAATATTAAAGAAGTTATCTCTGCTTAAAAAAAGAAAAAAAAAAAAAAAGAGGGTTCTTCATGTTGAGCACCAATCTACCTACCTGCAGCACACAATCTGCTCAATTTTCATAGGAAGATACTTGGACAAGATATCAGATGTCCTCCTTATCAAACACCTGTTGATACAGAATATGGTCATTACAACCGAAGCAGAATAAAAGAGAGTTCAGTTTGTTGAAGACATTCGTCTAAACGCAAAACATAAATAAATATTTATTTTTAGGATGCTTATGTTTACTTGACTCTGTCTGACAAAGACAAAACAAAGGAGCAGGAATTAATATAATTTAATTAACACAATTAAAATAGTTGTTTCTCCAAATGTATCAGAGATTATGCTGCATAATCTCATTCTAAATCTAATCTATGAAAATCAGATAATGAAACAAAAACATGCTGCATTCAATTACAAAATTATATCTTAAAAGAAATCAAAATAAAAGCAAAAAGCCTAGAAATTAACAGGAACAGGTCATCTTATGAACAGGACATAAGATTAAATAAAGTTTCATCCCCTCTGTGTGTGTCCCAAGGATCCCAGGGGCTATGTTGTCTGGGGGGAGGGGGAGCCATTCAGAACCCCCTGTGCTGCTTTTTGAACAAAATGAAACAAGTGTGGACATTTCTGCAAGACAATGATGCCAAACATGCAGCCGAGGAAACTTTCAATTGGTTTCAGAGCTGCTACAATTACCTGGCCAATCACCTGACCTGAATCGAAATGAAAATCTGTGGGAAGAACTAAAGCTCAGAGTTCATAGAAGTGGCCCACAGAGCCTTCACAACCTGAGAAATGCAACTAGGTTCTCCATACAGGAAATGTTGAAGCTGTCATTGCCAACAAAGGCTTTTGTATGAAGTATGAAATCAATTTCAGTAAGTGTGAAATACTTTTTTCCTGTATCATTTCTCATTATTACACATAACTTAATTTATGAACAGCTATGGGTTCTTTACATGAGTGGATTGAATGGATTGTTACCGACATCCGGTGAGAATTTTGTGTCAATAGCACTCTTGAAAATATATTTACTTAGAAAATAGCACCAGCACCTGCCTGAAGGCAGTTTATATTATAAGGTAAAGTACTTTAGTGTTGTGTTGCATGAACTTACCTGTTGACTATGCTGATTAGCTCCTTCAGTTTTTCTTCCCCACTCAAT